AAATAAGTAATTTGTTATTTATTATTACTTCTTGTTAGTTTCATTTGTCATATTATTCTTTTGCGTAGAGTTTAACAACTTTGGCAAGACACCAATCAACCAAGTTCTGAAGTTACCAGATATAGAGCAATGCTCCTTTGTACAGATGTATGAACAATACATTTCTGACAGAGAGTCAGAAAAACATTTCAGCACTTCTAATGCTCAATGTTGATAGCTGCAATCTGGCTCTTTGATTCTTCTGGTTTGAAGCCACCTGATAGATTGAAATGTTGCTTAATTTGCAAAACCTGCATGGATTCATTGTGATCACTAGATAGATAGAACTTATATTTTCATTTTGGTGGTTTTTATGGATATTATACTGAACCCGTTAGATATGATTAATATTCAACTTGTCCTATAATGATCTGTTCTTTAATTTTCCATTCATTCTTTTTAAGAAAATCAAGTATCCTCCTCCCCCCTTCTCTTTCTGTTAATAAATTGATATGATGATACTTTTGAGCTTTATAAGTTTCTCTGTTTTCTGTTTCACTGATATGTGAGGTTTCTGCATGCATAAACTTTCTGCGCTTACCTTAAGTCAAAAGGGTCTGGTTCATTTAATGCATTTGAGCCAAGAATACATGTAGACAGTAATAATAATAATTACTAAATTGTTATTATCATGTACTAAGGTAGACTACTAAAAGGATGAAAAGAGAAATTTCAGAAAGAATCCCAAATACTCAAACTAGTTCATGGACAATAAGAATTCTCATGCATCCAACATATTTAGCTCCCAAATACATCACACTCGACAGAATATTAGAGCTTAGAAGACATAGAAAGTTACGGACTATAAATTAGATTACAGAGAAAGCAAAAGAACTAACATCATAGTCACAATATATGTTCAAGACAAGTAATAAAAAATGAAAGAAATAGGAAAGTCAAAATTGGGTGGACAGGACCATGTCAGAATCAGAGCATGCATCCAAGCAGAACTACTTTTAGTTGCAAATTTGTAAGATGGTCCTCCAAATCATCAGCACATAACACACTACCTCACACATCCCAATCAATTTCAGAAAACAGTGCTAGTAAGATTTGCATAAAATCAGAAAGTATATTTAAGAACTCACAGTTCTTTCAGTGGTCCCAGGAGGACCATCAAGAATCTTAATGCGAGCCGTGGTTTCCTCACAAGTTTTCTTGATATATTCACCTTTGCGTCCAATGATACTGCCAACCTTTTGAACGGGAACTAACATCCTAAATACATTTTCTCCAGGCCATCCAGGCCATCTCTTTTCCTCACTGCCTCTGGAATGATTTTCAGCTTCCAGTGTTTCTTCTGGAGGATGTGGGGTCACAATAACATTCTCCATCTCTTCTTGCATATCACCTAAGTTGTGCTCCTCAAAATTTTCCTCAGCCATGTATTGCAATGATAAATGAGCTGATCAAAATCAGAAATTCAGATATCAAAGATTATAGGAAAATATGCAACTAACTTTTACACCAAAATGAGATAAATTTTGCACAACTTATCAGAAGGTCGCAAGCATAGGAATACGTGAACATACACATCATAAACTATATCTACTTACTGGTTATAACATCTTCTACTTTAATAAACAATTTGCAGCCAACAAGGGAAGGAATCACTCTCTCATTCAGGATTAAAATTTGAGATTTCTTCCAAATGCGTGAACAAGCATAGTACATACAATTTGATAACAGTATCAAAATTAAAGGAGCTCCGAGTTTGCAAGCAACAGTTTGAATACACCTTTTAACTCAACAGTCAAGCATTCAAGTTGTTTATAAAGAAAGGCACACATAAACAAGCTCTCAAAAAATTTCTCCATTTTCGTCACAAGGGTGATACATTTTGATTTGCAACTCTTATTTTTTGTTGATGCGCCTCAAACAAAAATTATTTTATAGTTTATCTTCACCATGCTCACTTACATCAGAAGCCTACCACATGATTTTATTTTATTTTTTTATTTAAATTTTTTTATTTAAACAATGGTGACAGAACACAGAAGTCATTAGTTAACAATCTTCGTTAAAATCATAAACGTGCACTAAACATTTTCGATATAATAAAGCTGCAAAAATAAAACAGAATAACTGAATAAAATAAGAAAATCATACATGTTGATTGAAAAATTCAAGAAATACATCAACAACCTGTCAACATTAAAATCTTTAATAATGTTCTTCCCATAAAATAAATAAGTCAGCTACCATGGAAGCCCGAAAATTAGAAAATCCCTTAAAAAAATTGCTTAAACAACTACCTTATCGTTTCCCCCATTAATACCAATCACAAGAACACAATAAAACATAATATACAAAAATATCCCCCAAAA